TGCGTTTTCAGTCCCCAAAATGCCAAAATTGTGTAAACGAACAGTCAAAACGCATAAAAAGTTTCCTGTTTTTGGCTGAAAACGTTGTTGTGTAAACGACTCGATACCAGTAATTGGTATCAATGGATCCCTCACACAAGTGTAAAATGTAAGTTATGCGCTGAGAAGGGAAAAAAGTACCACACTTATGTCATATTTAATTTTAAAAAACTGCTCGTTCCATTTTGTGAAAATTCAATTTTGCTTTTTGTGAAAACTCAATTTCACTTTCTTAGACAGCACAAAGTCTAGCTCACCTGGAAGATAATATTGGCTCTTACATCCATTGACCACTTGTCAGCTGCTTTGTAATAACAGGAAAACACAAAAAAGCAAGCAAGCCATATGAATTCACAAAACCAAACATGAGAGCATGACTAAATTTGGCATAGGCTAAAAATTGTTAATGCAGGAAATGCCTTGATATCAGGAATACTGGAAATATTCCATCCCCATGATGACATCATGTTTAGGCATTAGGGATGTAACCATTAACCACGAGCCGGTTGAAAATCGATTCAAATATGTGACGATTCAAATCGGTTGAGATGCTAAACAAATCACGATTCATTTAGGGGTAGGAGTTTATATGTCTGAGGGGAACTTACTGTCTTTAGAAAAATTTAGATGGTATTTTTTCTTTTAATCTTGCCTCTGTATAAAGCATATTAAAGTGCATATGTGCAGCGCTAGTGCATACGTGTAAACACTTTAAGCGCCACCTGCTGGCAGAGAGTGAATCTGCGTCTCGTTCAGTTCATCTGCTGTTTCTGTTTCATGCAGATATTATGTATAGTTTCACAAAACTGAAGTGAAACCATTCTGTTTTGCTTCAAATTTCGAAATTACACAATTTAATTTAGATTAAAAACGGCTAATTTTGCATGTATGCAGCATCTTTGTTTGGATCATGATTAAAATGCAGTGGTTACCTCTAATTTTAAATGGAAAGAGCACAGACAAAGCCTTATTTTGTTTATATATGAAGAGATTTCTTTTGTGTTACTTAGTTATTTGATTTGGGGCTTGTTTTAAAATTTCAATGTAGTTTTGTTATTTACATTTACATTTAAATTTTGTCATTTAGCAGACACTTTTGTCCAAACGACTTAGGACAATAGAAGCAATCAAAACCAACAAAAGAGCAATAATATGCAAGTGCTATATTAGTATATTATTATAGTGTTATATTTCAATTTCACAAAGAAATGTGCAGCATTTTGTCCAAGCAATAATAAAAGGACACATTTAATTGATCATTTGTCTTAAATCTCATTTTGTAATATATATCAAATAATCAAATCAAATAATAATAATCGTGAATCGAATCGAATCATGAAATCAAAATCGTGAATCGAATCGTGAGTTCAGTGAATCGTTACATGCTTATTAGGCATATATACAGTGCAAATGTAATTTTCCAATGCAATAGGATGACAATTTTTTAAACCACGTGTACCCAACAAAGTTAAAAAGGCTTTTTTTACGCAAAGGCAAAAAAGGTGAGTAGGTGTTGTCTGGGACACATCAAGAATCATTGGGTTTACAACATAAATTGGATTCACTGTGACTGCATTATATAATTTTTTCAATGATTCAATAACAAAAACATGAACCCTTCTACATCTATAAACATTGCTGACCATTTGTGACTGTATCACCAGAGACAAATGTGAATGGTATTTTATTTAACTACATTCTCTCTGCCAGCTTGTTTTCAAGATGACTGATCCACCCTTTCTATATACCGGAGGAAAAAACTGTACAGGAGCTAAAATGGCTGCACAGGTCTCACAGAAACGAGGCAAAAGAACCTTAACTGGCAAAGTGTGTATGGATACCACATTATATTCAGCTGCCTTTCAATAAGAAACCATTGTTTATGCTACTAAAAGCCATTTTAAGATTGTGCTTCTAGCTGTTCCAAAGCACTGGTTAGGGAGGGGGGGGGGGG